GTTCTTTACCCATCATGTACCACCCTCCCTCTCTGAGCCTCAGTTTCTATGTCTGTAAAATAACAGTGTTGAAACATAGACTTAGAGTTGGAAGATACTCCAGAGGTCATCTAGTCCAATGTGTTCATTTTATAAATGAGGAGCTATCCTAAATAATGTAGGTAGCGAGTATCCAGGCTGGTATTCAAACTCAAAATCAGCATTCTCCTGCATCACAATGCCTGATGGTTAAGGTCCCTTCTGAGCTTTGGGGGATATTTAACAGGCAACCAAAGGCACCTGTGTTGGGGGATGGTGGAGATGACCCTAACCGCCCCCCACCAAGAGCTGAATTAGAGCCTGACCGGGGAATCAGAATAGGGGGCTGTAAGGCAGTAGGAGAAGAGCTACCGGGTGTGAGCCAAAGTGCTCTCAACTTGATCCCACAATGAGACCCTGAGCTTAGATTGGAGGCCTTGAAAAGTCTTCTACCATCTTAGTGAATTCCTGGCCAATGTTTCCACAGCTTATAAGGAGAAGATGAAAGAGCTCCCCCTAGTGTCCCTCTTCTGTTCCTGCTTCCTGGCTGATCCCCTGAATAAATCTTCCTATAAATATGATGGTAAGTGACAAGACCCTGATTCTGAAAGCAGATGGCCAAGGATCCTGGAATTCTTTGTACCCCTAAAATTCCCCCCAGTTTCATAGCACATTTCTATACCATAGTCTTCTTCCTTTCACAGATTACAATCAAATCCCAGTGACACACACATATAAACACAAATGTACATCATACACTTATATACACTTATATACATATGTCATATACTTATATACACCTATATACACACATGCACACATACATATCCACATACAGAGTGGAAAGAGCCCTGGACCTTGGATCAGATAACCCAAGTTCAAATCCTGTTTCTGATACTTATATCCTGGGTGACCTTGGACAAATTACTTAACTCCTCTGGGTCTCAGTTCCCCCACCTGCAAATTGAGGGCATTGGATGAGGTGGTATCTGAGGCCTCTTCTAGCTCTAGTTGAGTGTGAGAGTTTAGACAGCATGATGAAGACATAGATAGGTACCTACAGTATTAAGGAGTATTCAGGTAGCCCCAACAAAGCTGCCTTCCAAACTCTTTCAAAGAGAGGTGAATGGTAACAAATTCCTAAGAGACTGTCAGTTCCTAGACAATGAGTGATCTTCAGGGTTCCTGGGAGAGGGAGGAAAGAGTGGATATAGCTTAAAGAGAAAGAGAATGGATGAAGCAGCCCTCCTTAACTCGATAAGATTTTTCTAGCCACCTGAGGTTGGTGTGGGAGTTAAAAAGAAGGAGGAGGAGACAATGGGAAGAGAGAGTGGGAGGAAAAGCTGAGCCAAGGATGGGTGTGTAGATTAGTTGGTAAACAATAGGTGAATGAATGGGTGGGTGGAGAAAAATGTAGCAAGTGTTGACTTTGTCCTGGTGGACCAGAGTTTCTCTGATGGCCCACATCACAGAGAGTTTACATTTAAGAGGCTTAAAAAAGCAGCTGATGGGACTGAAACTGATGCTGCTATTTGTCATGATTTGGGATGCTTGGGTCCCATGCACATTTGATGACCAGGTGGCTCCTCTTTGGCAGGTTAAAACTTTTCCCGCATTTAAAGCATTCAACAAACATTTATTAAGCATTTGCTGTGTGCTAGCTGCTAGGGACAGATACAAGGACAAAACAAAATGTCCCTGCCCTTAAGGAGTTTATATCCTATTGATCACAATCTCTCCCAGCTCCCTAAGATCCACCAGACTGAGGGGTTAGGCTAGAAGCTTTGTACCCAGGCTTCTCGGGACTGACCAAAACTGAAGAGAAATATCTTAGGTCTTTATGTCTGTCCTCACCCCCCACCCCCCACCCCAGGACTCTAATATCCTTGTTCTTGCTTTATATATGTTTTGCATTTGCATATATGTATGTGCATATATGCATATACATATATTTACATGTATTATATCATATGTTGTGTTGTCTTCCATTGGAAAGTAAGTTATTTGAAGACATACATATAAAAATATATATGTGTAAGCATGCATATACACATACAAGTTGTCTCTCCTATTAGAAAGTGAGCTCTTTGAAAGCAGAGACTACTTTGTTTTCATCTTTGTATACCCAAAGTTTAGCACAGTGCCTGGCATATAGCAAGACCTTAATAAATGCTTATTGATTGATTAATTGATCACATATGCATTTTTAGAGGCGTTTTATGGGGAATCGACAGACAAGCAAAGGAAAAGCAGGTCTTCAACATGACTATATTGCTACAGAAATTACTCTTTGAAATCACTACAATAAACATCTATTGAATCTTAAGAGCACACATGCACAGACACACACACACACCATACACAACAATATGTTCAGGTGTGGCTGGGTCTTAGCATCTGACTACCATCTTCTCTGCTCCCTACAGCAGACACCGTGGCTCTGAACTGGTGTGTCATTTCTGACATGGAAGTCATAGAACTGAATAAGTGCACCTCGGGCCAGTCCTTTGAGGTCATCCTGAAGCCACCCTCCTTTGATGGGGTTCCTGAGTTCAATGCCTCACTGCCTCGGCGGCGAGACCCGTCATTGGAGGAGATCCAGAAGAAGTTAGAAGCTGCGGAAGAGAGGCGAAAGGTGAGTGTCATCTCTTGCATCCTCCCTCCAAAGAATAGAAAGTTAGGAGAAAGGTGGCATTTCTATGGCTGAGGCAGGAGCAGGAGAGAAGGGTTAGGTCATAAGATGGAAGATGAAAACAAAATAGAACACAGGCTAGAGAAGAGAGGAGAAGGAAACTGAGTCAATCAAAAAGATTTGACAAGGAAGGTAGAAGAGAGATATGAAGTGATGACACAAGGCTGTGTTTCAAGCAGAATCGATCTATGAACATTTTTCAGTCATGCCCAACTTTTTGTGACCCCATTTGGAGCTTTCTTGGCAAAGATGCTGGAATGGTTTTCCATTTCCTTCTCCAGCTCATTTTACAGATGAGGAAACTGAGGCAAATAGAATTACATGACTTGCCCAGGGTCACACAGCTAGTAAGTTTCTGAGACCATATTTGAACTCAGGAATATGAGTCTTCCTGACTCCAGACCTGGTACTCTATCTACTATAGTACCACCTAGCTGCCACTATGAATATTTATTGAGTACCTAGGGCTTAGGGGGGATACAGAGAAACATAAGCCATAGTCCCCACTCTAACAGCTTAGGATGTAATCAAAGAAAATATGTAGACAAGTAAAAAGTAACTATACAATATTTTTTAATAGTTATGTTCTCTAGGACAGAGTCTCCTAAAAGTCTAGTGTATTTTAAGCTATTAAAGCTAAAAATGCTTGAAATAGCTTAAAATTTGAGGTATTAAAGCTAAAATGGTTAAAATAGCCTGAAATGATTAAAATTTTAAATTATTAAAGCTTAAAATAAACTAAGACTTCTGGGTCACTCTACATGAGGCATATATATGTGTATGTGTGTATATATATATATATATAAAATCTCTATATATGTGTTTAGATAGATAGGTAACATTATTATTGATACAGTGCTTTTAAGTCTGCAAAACACCTTACATATATGATTTCATTTGAACTTCAAAACTACCCTGTGAATAAAGTACTATAGACATTATTGTTGCCATTATACAAACAAGGAAATTAAGGCTCAGAGATGTTAATTCACTTGCCCATGGTCAAATAGTTAGTGTCAGAAGCATGAGCTGAACTCAGATTTCTCTAAGAAGTCCAGCATTCTATTCACAACACCATTCTTCCTGTATTAATATAGACGAGTGACGAATGAATGATCAAGCTCAGTTGCTTTAGTCCTTGTTGTTGTTGTTCTGGACCTATGAACTCATCAGTGTGGAAACTCCCTTCACTGGTTCAGAATAGCCACTCACCTATAACTTATAGTCTTAGAGTTGCTTGGGGCACTGATGGGATAAGTGACTTGACCGGGTTTACCTGGTAATGTCAAAGGCAGCACCTAAACCTAGATCTTCCTGACTCCGAAGCTGGGTTCTAGTCACTCTACCATGCTTCCTCTCAATAGGGCCTTGTAGGAAACAACAAAGACTTGGGGAAAAATTCAACATATTAGAGAACATTGAAATGGTAAGTGAAAATAGAAAAACCAAAAAGTGCCCAAGAGCTCATGGGATGTGGAAACTGGACAAATTAAGGAAAATGAGGTAGAAGAGGAGGTGTGATGTGAAGTTCATGGTTGGTGGGAGGACCTAAGAAGTAAGCCTGGTTGTTCTGAATTTCAGTCAAAAGGGATGGTTCAATGTCAGGAAAAGGTATAGCATCAGCATACTGATTTTCATGGGCCGCCTCCCCTCATTGTGCCTCCCTAGTACCAAGAAGCTGAGCTCCTGAAACATTTAGCTGAGAAGCGAGAGCATGAGCGGGAGGTGATCCAGAAAGCTATCGAGGAAAATAACAACTTCATCAAGATGGCAAAGGAGAAACTGACACAGAAAATGGAATCCAACAAGGAGAACCGGGAAGCCCATCTTGCTGCCATGTTGGAACGTCTGCAAGAGAAGGTAAGTGGGTCCCAAGGCAAATTGTAGTGCCTTTGACACCAGCCTGCTTCTATGTATGGTGAGTAGCCATCCTACTGAGTGAGGGAGGAACCTGTTTTAGTTACTGGGCTTTTCTAAGCAAGTGGAATTCTTTGAGCATTCCATTGAAAGTATATTCCTATTTTAAATATATGTATATATGTATATATATATAGGTGTATATATGTATATATACATACATATATATATGCACACACATAGTTGTGTCTAATGGTAGCCATCTCTAGGATAGGGGGCGGGAGAAGGAAGAAAAAAAGGGGAATGATAACTTTATTATATAATTAAAAGGAATAGCAAGTTGTACATAATAGATTTGCAGTTTCATGCGCAATCATCTTTTTAAAAATTCTACTATGTTAGGGAAATGCTTGTTTTATTTCATAAATTAAAAATAACATAAAATTTAAAAAGAAAGTATATTCCTAAATAGATTAGAACATGTTGGGCATGTACAGGAAATATCCCCTTTCCCACTTAAATCTTCATGATTAGGGTGGGACGGAGATGTCATATTCTCAAGGTTTAGTTATGCAATAGATACTTATGAGGTCTTCAATCTCATCTCTAGCCCATAAATAACCAGATGGAATCAGTGACTTGAGTTGACTTGAGCTCTTGGCTTAAGTCCAAGGAATGATGATCTTAGGTGCCTATTGGTCAGGAAAAATATTTCTCTCAGAACTGGATGAAATAGGCTGAGGTAAGCACAGATTCTTACAATTTGTTGCCTTCAGTCAATAAAAGAAAGAGTTCCAAAAGCTGAGAAACCCAAGAGGTAGGAGGTAGGTCTCACGTGTCAATGGGGTCCAATAGATAGAGTACTCCATTGAGAAGGCTTTGATACCTGTCTTGCCTAGCACAATGTCCTTTATCTCCTGGAGCCTGATTTTCCTCATGTGAAAAATGGCAGGGTTGAAATAGATGATCCCTAAGGTCCCTTCCAGCTTGAAGACCCAATACAGCAGCCTATTCTACCTAAGAACATAATGGTCTCATTTCCCTGGTCTTAAGATTAGGGTAGCTGACCTTAGGGTAGCTCCCAGGAGACAGCTCCAGCTGTGTGTTTTATTTCTAGGAGCCGCCCGCTGCGCGGTGACTCCCGGGACCTGATCGGTGGCCTCGTCCCATGGTGAGCAGCGTGGCCCTCATTCCTCCCTACCTGACCCCTAAGTTACATTGCTACCCTTGGCTACAATAGCTAGAGTTTGTTTCTTCTCTGAAGGAAGCAAAATGCCAATGTTACTTAGGTCCCTGAGGAATCTGACGTTGTAGGATGTTAGCGTAGGCTCCAAACTTCATTTTATCAAGGTAATGAGGGTTCCAACCAAGGGTTATGTGGAAGACCTGGGTATTGTTCCAGGCTTTCAGCAGTATGATCTGGAATATGCCACCTGGAGAAAGAAATCAATGGGGAAGAAGGGAAGAGGCCTTCTCAAAGGATGTAGCAAAGGAATGGTTGGTGCTAGACTGTCTTTTGCCCGAGGAAAACAAGCCCAAAGCTGTCCTGTTGACCTGCTGCACCACTGATTGTGAAGAGGAGTTTTGGAAATGGAGGTTGTGAATGACTGGAAGCAGCATAGGACAGGTGGAGAAGGGCCAGATTTGAACTCAGAGGACCTGGTTTCAAATGCCTACTCTGCAATTTTCTCTCTATGTGACCTTGGGCAAGTCATTTAACCACTTTGGGGCTCAGTTTCTGCATCCATTTGGAAAGATGACTCCAGGTTGTAGTAGATGACTTCTGAAGTCCTTCATAGATCTGAATCTATGTCCCTAGAATCCTGTTATTCCAAGAATGACCTGGGACTCCAGATGGTGAAAGGAGTTATTTAGATATGGCAGTAGATTTGAGACCAAATAGCTAGAGATCTGTATAAAATGAGGTGACAGCTCTGGGGTGGGAGATTAGATTAGGAGGTCTGATGCTATCTTGAGTTCACAACAGACTAAAATAGGGGGAGGAAGAGAGGAAGCAGTTCAGCCCTGTTGACTCTATACCTCCCATTCCCCAATAAAAGGACGGTGAATGAATGAATGCATAGATATTGAATGAACATCATCTCCACTAACCTACACTGAGCCCTGTAGGCTCACACCAGGGGGTCTTTATATGGTTTCAGCGCTTCAGGATTTTGAAAATCTCTCTAGAAATAGATTTAGGTTTAGATTTATGTTAGGCCTTGAGAAAAGCTAATTCAGAGTGTCTCTGCTAAGTCCAAAGTGACACTTGGTCTACAGGGGAAAAAAAAGTGATTTTCGAGTTAATATTTTGATTGGTTTTGCTGAAATGCTTTTTTTTCTTTTTCTTTATTAGAAGTGTAACACAACACTTATGGAGTCTGTGCCAAAATCTCACAGGGCAAATGTTGTGAACATTGGCAAGGCATCTTGGGAGATGTGGCTTTCCTTCCCAAAATTCCTGCAGGAGAAGAAAGGGGATAGGGTTGAAATCTGCACAGACTATTCCTATCTAAGCCTTCCGGATCAGTTTGGAAGTGGGACTCTGTCCTCTAGTCCCTCTTAGATCCTCCCTCCCTTCATCCCTTGCCCTTGCCTCCTAGGTCTGGGTGGGAAGAGGGTTAAGCCATAGGGACCCTCAGCATCTTACTCTCCAGGTGGGCTAGACTCACAATTACAAGAACATATTTCTTCTAGAGGTAAGGTGATCACATGAATTTAGGCTTTAAGGTTTGGCTTGTTGGAAGAATAATTTTAAAATAAACATAATAAATGACTCACAAAATACCCCACCAAGTCAGAATGTGGGGTTCTAGCTTATATTCTGCTAAATATAAAATCTCCACAGAGCTATACCCCACCCTCCACACACACTGAGAACTCTAAAGGCATTTAAGATCATACTCAGCAAGAGATCTCCTTTTATCTAAATGAATCAAGCTTAACAAAGAATATATATATGTGGGTGGGAAACTGGCCAAGCTTTGGATACAAAGTTTGGGGTCCTGCTTCCCGTTAATGGAACACTGATCAGAAGTTAGTTTGAAACTGAAAATCACACTACTAACAATATTTGGGAGAACATATATATGTATATACATGTACATTTATACATACGCACATACATATGTGTATATGTATATGTCATATGTATATATGTATATGTACATGTATACACATATATGCATATGTAAAACATTCTAGATTGGTACTCTCTTTTTGAGGAGAGAAAAGTCCCCAAACTCTTGTGTCTACAAAAGTAAGAAATCAGCAGAAAGGCAATAGAACATGCCTAGAAGGGTAGGGAGTAGGGGAAATAGGAAGGAGAAAGAAAATACCCTTCAGGTGTTTTCCTTCCACTCAGGCTTTTGTGTGCCCCTCTGGTTACAATTGGCCCCTCTACTCATGGTGGATGATGACACTAGATTTCCCAGGGGGATCCCAGTCAGTCACAACTATGTTGTTGCCTTTCGTTAAATCTCCAATGCTTAGGACAGTGACTAGAACTTAGAAAGCATTTAATAAAGGCTTGTTGGAAAGACTGACTCCATTTGAACAGTCTCTGCCAGTCACCACTGCCACCTTAGCTCTTGCCCAAACCCCTCAAGTTTTGCATGATTCTGAGATCTCATACTGTCACATTCCAGATGTTGCACAATATTTTATCCATTTCCAGGGCAGCTAGGTGGTGCAGTGGATAGAGCACCAGCCCTGAAGTCAAGAGAACCTGAGTTCAAATCCAGCCTCAGACCAAACACTTGACACTTACTAGCTGTGTGACCCTGGGCAAAGTCACTTAACCCCAATTGCCTTAAAAAAAATATTTTATCCATTTCCTCCTGGTCTAAGAAGGGCGGGGAGAGTTGGGGGGCAGTGAGTGAAGGAAAGAGGGGAAACTATTTCACAAGATTCTTTGCCATTATTCACAACATTTACCAGATGAGATTTCAGCACCACCCACAACAACAGGTTGTTACATAGGGATGGCTTGTTGGGTGGGAAAGTGGAAAGGATGTATTTTAAAATGAAGGTGCTGTAAAAATAAAAACCATTAATATAAATAAGATGCTTTTTTTTAAGTGATTTTAGGCCATATGTAAGTTCTCATATGCTCTAGTGGGAATGACTAGAACCACTCCCTCACTTAAAGAATCCTCATATCTCTGTGGTAATTTGGGGTCTGAAGGAAATGCCATGGAATGACTATCTGACAGGCTTGCCCCAATTCAATTCCTTTTTTTTTCTTTAATATGCTTTGTTGATTCATTTTATTTTATACATCACAATCACTTCACAAATGTGCTCCCATAGTACTCTTAAGCAAAGTGTCTAATATAGTGACTGACTGGTCTTGCTAGGAGAGAAGAAGGAAATTGATTCCAACGTCAGTCCTCACCCCAGTTCAACTTTGCCCCTTCGAGACCAAACAGGGGTATCCCCAAACTAGCTAGCTAGCTACAACACTAGCTTAAGTCAGGAGTGTACTATACATCTACAGTACATATGCCAAAGAGGCCACTCAAGTCAATATTTATTAATCCCCTAAACCATGGTGCTACTTTGGTACCCCTATTTTTGAAAGATGAGACAGATCAACCTGAACTCCCACTCACAAGGCAGAGGTTGGCATGCAGTTAACAATCTTAGAAGAAAAAGGGGTCAGAATGTTGGCTCACTACTTTTAAATGGTTGGTAACCCCTGGCCTACATGCTTGGGTTGGGAACATCTAGGAGGCACTCAACTATTACAAATACTGATACCTCATTAACAATTCAGTGAGGGACTTAGTAGCATCCTTCTGTTAGTAGAATGAGTCCCATTGCTCACCACTCATTCAAAGCTCATCACACCCCCCACTTATTGATGGCAGTTTTTCCTCCAGTCCACAGCTCTTAATTATGAATTATAGGTATTATGCATTAACACAAATAAGTTTATATTGAAAAACACATAAACCTATGAACACATTCCCTACATACATGCAGATATACTTCTTCCATACTTGAAAAGCTCTCTGCTATCATCAGTGTGTCATTCTTATACTGACACAGATTAGAAGACCTCTATACTTTATCACACAATTTCATGAGTTCCAGCAGCCAAAAAAAATTCACACAAACACACACACCCAAAAGCCAGTCTTATAGTGATGAGCCTTTCCAAACTCATGGAATCGGGGCAGTTGGGTGGGGCAGTCAATAGAGCACCGGCCCTAGAGTCAGGAGGACCTGAGTTCAAATCTGGTCTCAGACCAGATACTTGACACTTACCAGCTGTATGACCCTGGGCAAGTCACTTAACCCCAATAGCCTTGCAAAAAAACAAAAACAAACTTATGGAATCCTGGTCTTCAGACACTAGAGGCCCACCTGTTACTGAGTGCATAGATTCTCCAGCCTGGTAGGACTTGTCAGAAATTATTTCCACTGGTATAGTCTTGGAGAACCCAAAGCCATCTCCACACTATGATGAAATATTGAAGGAAGATTCTAGTGTAGAACACATAACCTGAATATATAGACAAGGTGTCAGTCACTCAATAAACATTTATTAAGTACCTACTATGTGCAAGTCACCGTGCTAAGCACTGGGGCTACAAAGAAAGGTAAAACACGGTCCCTGCTCTCAAGCGAGAAAACAAACATGCAAGCAACTATGGCCAAACAAGCTATAGACAGGATGAATTTGAAATAATCAACAGAGGGAAGGCACACAAAGTATGCCCTTATTCCCCATGCATTCCCACAAATTCACCCTCATTATACCCAAAGGGTCTCCCAACAATACAGTTACACATTCACATACCTAACTACTTACATACGCATTAGATGTGTACATACATAGAGGTAGAAATGTTTCAAAGAATAAATGAATAAAAGGGTGAGAGATGGTGGAGCAGTCATGGTAGGTAGAAGAGTGATCAAAAGCAGACAGGAGGCATTATAATGTAATGAAAAGAGTATTGACTCTAGAATCAGAGGTGCTAGGTTCAAATCCTACCTCTGTGACCATAGACATACCTTAATGCCTCTGGAGGTTACTGGAGGTTACCTTATTTCTCTCATCTGTAGAATGAAGGTATCAGACTAGATGGCCTTCTAAGGTCAAGTTCAAAGTCCACAATCCTATGACCTAGGTTCAAATTCCACATCTGATGATTACTACCTTAATGCCAAGTCACTAAACCTCCCTGGGCCCTGGTTTTGTCATCTATAAAGTGAGAGGTTTGGACTACATGGACTCAAAGGCCCCTTCCTGATGATCTATAAGGTAGATGCTAGATGAGGAGACAGTAGATAAGTAGGTAGGTAATAGAGAAAATTTGATTATGGGAGAGCAAATGGATGATGATTTTACACTCAGATAATAATGATGATGATGATGATGATATCAGAATTTATATGGTGCTTTAAAGTTTACAAAATTATATATGTATATATATATAAAATCTCAAGGGGAGGGGAGGTAGATGGCACAATGGATAGAGCACCAGGCCTGGGGTCAGAAAGACTCATTTTCCTGAGTTCACATTTGGCCTCAGACACTGGACATGAGACCCTGGACAAGTCACTTAACCCTGTTTACCTCAGTTTCCTCATCTGTAAAATGAACTGGAGAAGGAAATGGCAAACCATTCCAGTATCTTTATCAAGAAAACCCCAAATGGGGTTGTGAATAGTTGGACAGGACTGAAACAACTGAATAAAAACAACAACAATATATAAAATCTTCTTTGATTTTTATAACAAGCCTGTGAGGTGTGTGCCATTATTATCTCCATTTTTACAGATGAGGAAACTGCTATGTACGTAAACCAAGATATGACTAGAAGACAGGGCAGAGGTAGCATGCCTGCTCCATGGGCTCACAAGGCCCCTGCTTGGATAGCAATTCAAATAAATGAGTTCAGCCAGTCTTACTGTAGAACCTGTCTCTGGTCTCACATTCTCTTACTCTTCAACCTTTAAAGAAGGAGCCACTTAACCCACTCTCTTCCCATCTTTCCTTTCCAGGACAAACATGCTGAAGAGGTTCGGAAAAACAAGGAGCTGAAAGAAGAGGCCTCCAGGTAAAGACCCTGAGGCAAGAAGGAATTTGGACCAGCAGCTCCAGCAGCAGCGGTGGCGGCTTTCCCAGAACTGGGGTTTTTGGGGGTGGGGGGGGGGTAGTGGCCTAGGGAAGTTTCCTCTGCTTTCTTTGTTTGTACATGTAAAGAGTTGACCAGTGAAGCCATCCTATTTGTTTCTGGGGAACAATGATGGGGTGGGAGAGGGGAGAGAAAGAGACTTGGAAAAGAGAAGGTCAGAGAGGGCCCCATGGGGCCCTCATAGCTATTACACCCAGAGAAGCTCAGAATTACATCCTCCACACTTTTTTTTTTCCATTTCTTTGCTGGGCATCAAGCATTGGACCACCAAGTCTTCAGGGTGGGTGGGTATGGGCAAAAAGGATGTTGGAAACGGGGGTAATAGAAGTTAGTGATGAAGTGGAAAGTACCTGGGTGGAGAGGAGTATGGAAGTATAACCTAAGATCCTCAAACCTTTACGCTGGCCAGAGGGAGGCATGCTCGGCAGGTATATTGTTTCCATCCTATAACAGATGGGATGACCCACTGTTTGTGTGGGCGCCATGACCCACGTACATGTGTGTTTTTACATTCATCTTTTGATCTTCATTACAAATGGAATATTTACTCCATGTCTCTGGTTCTTTTTTCCTGTCCCCAAAAGGCCCAACTGGCAAAATGTTGATGTTCAATGGTCCAGAATGGTTTGCAATGCTCCTTATCTTTGTCCTCAGCGGTGCTTTGGCCATGCAAGGAGGTGGAGGGTGGGGAGAGCAGGATAGACTCTTGCCAGTGTCATCATCCCATCTTTAGTAGCCATAAGAGTTTATATTATTATTGCATTATACTATGCATCTATGAAGTGATTTCACACCCATTGCCTCGCTGTCTCTTTACAACAACTCCATGAAGTCAGTGGGCCAAATGTTTTCCCCTTTTACAGATGAGGAAAATGAGGTTCAGATAGGTTGTGACATGCCCAAGGTCACACAGCTTAGAGGGAGCAGAGCTAGAAGTTGAATCCAGATCTTTGGACATTAAGTCCGGTCCTTCCCTTACTATATCTGCTGCCACTCCATAGAACTGGAAGATGAGCACATTTCTGGCCCCCCTCCTTGGCAGTGTCTCATTTATCATCTATGGTTGCTGAGGTTTCATGCTAGATAGATCAGGAGAGAGATGTCATCTTGCCTTCAGTGGATGAGCTGGTGTTTTAACATGGTTCCCAAGGTTCTCTGGAATCTGGGGCTAAGACTAAGAAGGCTCTTAGTAAGAAGAAATCCCATGTTAATTTGGGGTTAGGCTAATAGGGACAGCATAGGGAAGAAGGAAGGGAGCATTAACAGGAGACTGGAAGAGAATTCAGCTCGTTGGGCCCAGAGTAGAAAACCTGAAGCCAAAGGTGCGTTTTCAGTCTCTTTTCCTGATTTAGAAGGGTCAGGGGTTTTCTCTTTTAGGTCAGTAGTCCTCTGACTGAGAAAGAAGCCCTGGGGACCCTAGAAGGGAAGTTCATCCTTTGAGAACAGTAGGAGTCCCAGGCAGGAACTGGGGAAAAGGGCAGGATGAGTATGGTATCAGGGGTTCCCTCTCACTTGGGCAGATACTGTGTATTTTTGTATACAGCTTTGCAAATAAACCACCTTGGTACTATGTTCTTTCTCATCTCCCGTGCCCTGACTCAGCTTCCTTTCTGTAAGGGGGGGGGGGGGGGGCTGGCCACATTTATTAATATCAACTATATGCCTCACAGGAAAGGTGCAAGTATGAACAAAGACTTCCATGCTATAGCACCTAATAATTAGAAAACCTTGTATAAGTTTCCTGTGAGATCTTGAAACAGACTTGGTTTAGTCCTGGGGGCCTCCCTCCACTGAAAATCTTGAGATCCTATGCCCCTACTCATGGTTTCCTGTGGGAATACAAGAATCTAGTTTATGTTTTTCTAAGGGCTCTCAGCTCCTCTGTAAGCATTCAGGCTAACCAAGTTACTAAAATGGTTTAGGACAATAAGGGACCCCAAAAGGACTCATATCTGAGCCTTTAACAAAGCAATTGGGAAAATCCTTCCCAGTGAGCTCCATTTCCCTTCTCAGAGGTTTGTCTCATGGTCTCATAGTATGGTCTCAGACTCAACACCAATTAGTGAAATTGCTAATCTGAGTACATCCTGAGACTGAGCCCATATAGTGCCTCTCCCTAAGTATCTGATAGGTCAGCAAGGCTCCCTTACTCAGGTCCACAACTCTCCACGTGGTACCAGTCATCAGGTGAGTTCCCTTGTTCCCACCCACACTTAGCCTCACTCCTGAACTCTCTGCATAGCTCTGGCTGTCTGTTTTGGCAGGTGATCCTCTCCTGTGTAACATCTCTAGTCACTCACCTCCTACATGGTCTGCCAACCCAGAAGTTCCTTCTAGTCCTTCCTGTGCATTTACCCTCAGGCTTCCCATCTGTCTTATATGTGGGTGACTGGGGGTGGGGGGGGGGGAGTGGTGGGATGAGAAGGGCTGGCCCAACTCCTATCAGCACATGGTTGCTGCATCTGCTATGTAGAAGTGAGGACTGGCATGACATCAGTTTATGTTAAGACTCTAGAAAAAATGGCAGTCACAGAGTCTTATAACCTTGGAGTTGGAAGTCATCTTACTTAGTCCAACCCACACATGAACAAGAATCCCATTTATAATATATCCACCAATTAGTCATTCAATGACATTGAAGAGCTTCAATGACAAAGAGCTCACCATTTCCCAAGGCATCCCATCCTACTTTTAGAGAGGGCCAATAGCAGTTGTGGAAGTTTTCCCTCACAATGCACAGTGCAACTTCACCTGCTACTTCTAATCTTGCTCTCTGGGGCTGAGCAGAACTGCTCATCTCCCTTTCATATGACAGCCCTTCAAATACCTGAAGATAGTTACTGTGCCTTCCCTTATAATAAACATCCCCAGTTTCCTCAATTAAAAATAATAATAATAGCCAGCATTTAGATAGTGCTTTAAGGTTTGCAAAGCACTGTACATATGCCATCTCATTGGATCCTCATAACAACCCTGTGACATAGGTACTATTACTATCCCCATTTTACCAACAAGGAAACTGAGATTGAGAGGTTAATTGAACTGACCAGGGTAACACAGCTGGTAAGAGTGTGAGGCAGAATTTGTACTCAAGTCCTCCTGAGTCCAAGTGCAATGCTCTTTCTTACTCACTATGCCACTTAGCTGCTTAAGTGTCAATTGACCTTTATATGGTCCTTCATCATCCTAGTTTCTCTTCTCCGGATACTCTCCAGCCTACAAATGTCCTTTCCAAATAGCAGTGCCCAGAACTGAATACAATACTCCAGATGTGAGATGACTGGAGTAGAGTATACTAGAGCTATCACCTCCTTACTCCTAAAAGTTGTGGCTCTATTCATGCTGACCAGGATCCCGTAAACCTTCTTGGCATCTGTCTCACACTGTTGACTCACATTGAGCTTGTGGTCTACTAAAACCACCAGATTGTTTTTTTATACAAATTGCTGTCTAGCCCCAGTCCGCTACTGTATAGATAGGGAAACCTCTAAGAAGAGGAAGCAGAAATGGCTATCTATGCTCATGGAGTATTACATAGGAGGAGTAAATGTGCACATAGATAACAATGTATGATCAAAATTTTCCCTATGTTGATGTTCCCATTCCTCACTTAAAACACTCAAGACTGAGGAGGATACTCCTCAGTCAATAAACAATGAATAACAATATATAATATAATATAATAATAACTAGCATGTGTACAGTACATTACATATATTATTTCATTCACTGGCCAACTCTGTGGCTCAGTGGATAAAGCACAGGACTTAAGAGTCAGGAAAACTGAGTTTGAATCCAGCCTCAGGAGTTTACTAGCAGTGGGCAAGTCACTTAACCTCTTTCAGACTTAGTTTTCTTATCTGTGAAATGGGAATGATAATAATACCCACTGATCTCCCAGAGTTTTTGTGAGGATCAAACAAGTTAACATGTATAAAGTGCTTTGCCAACCTGAAAACACTGCATAAATGCTAGCTATTATTTAAGCCCACAACAGACTCACGAGGAAGGTACTATAGATGTTATCATCCCTATTCTATACATGATGAGACTGCAGTTCAGTGAAGTGACTTCTCCACAGTCACACAGCTTGTCAGAGGTAGGACTCAGTTGACTCCTCATCCTTTTCTTCTATACCTTATACCACATTGCCCTAATATCTCTAAGTAGGTATGTATTAGGTCCTGTTATATACTCATCATTGGGTTACTCCTCAGAAGGTACAGATACATATAAAAAATGGAGGAAGGAACAGGAAGATAAAGAGAAGAGAAAGTAGTGATGGGCTCTGGGATAGAAGGCAAATTAGGAACCAAACCCACCTCCCCAATTTCTAACCCATAGTATTTAGAGCCGGAAGGGACCTTAGAAGCCAAATGAGACAACCCTTGCCCTCCTCCTTCCCCTCCCCCATCCCAGTCTACCCAGATCTTGAAGCTTAGAGGGTCCCAGCCTGAACTGGAATTAAGAGAACCACCCTTCCCAGGCCAAGGCCACTCAGACCCCACACCCTAATCTTCCTACCAATGATAGCTTTCTATTCAACAATAACGCCATCCTCAAATCCTACACAACTCTTACCCTTAGGACTACTTCCTCCTTCCCACTAGGTGGCACAGGTGGGTGAGTCAGTACCTTCCAGGATCCCTGCTCTGCAGGGAAGATGCCCCATCTACCCTAAGGACTCCTGGACCTTGCCATCTCCCCTACAGATGAGCCTTGTATATATGTCATCTCCCCCACTTAGAGTGTGAGCTCCGTGAGAGAAGAAAATTTTTTTTGGGTATCCCCAGAGCTTAGTACATTGCTTGGAGCTTAATAAAGTCTTAATAAATGCTTTTTTTGTTTATTCCTGATCCTGCCCTAGCAGAGTTTAGAAGTTAATAGCAGAAGCAAGGCTAAGACACATGAAGTAACTAAAACCTT